AGTACACAGATTGAAAACCGAGTAATCTGGACTGGAGACTCCGAAGTCTTCACGTGTTCAGGCAGTACCTTTTTAAGCCCAGCTCTTTCTCCTCCTCCACTCCCAACCAGAGCATCTCCTGCGCGTTCACCTGAAGCAAAAAAAGGCGCAGCCACTCTTGGATCCAGCATTTCCCTAATAAGGGCCAAGAGTAAAGGAGACTTCGGGCACAGGGCAGTGTTTAGGAAAGCAACCAAGGCCAACAGGAGGCAAGAAAAAGGAGATGGATATTCTCGACCGCCTTTCACTCAGCTGTGTAGCTCGAGCACATCTTTCCTGGCTGTCCAGAGCAAGATCGGTCCCCTCCAGCTTGTGGGAGTGCTGTTCTCTAGGGGTTTCCCGGGACAGAGAGCACTTTTTTGTGTGTTCCGGCAGCCCTGTCCCCTGCAGTCGGTGGAGGACGCCTGATGACGTCACCGCAACAGTGAGGCAGTTCGCCATGGCGACGGCTTGTGACAACACGTTCTCCTTCTTCGCCTCTGGTTGTTTCTTCAAGTCTTCTGCTCTAAGCTGTTTTGAGGGGAAGGATACAGAAGTCTCTGACCTGACACTATGGGGGACGGAAAAGACGACAACTTCGACGGCGTGAGCACCGACCGCCTTAAAATGGAGTTGCTGGAAGAAATCCGCCGCAAGTGAGTCGGAGGGCGGCGCGCGCGCTCCCGCGCGGTGTGGGGACCCGTCCACGCCCCCGGGGGCCTCACAGCTCCGGCTCGTGCCACTCGTGGCAAAAGCCACTGAGGTCGATGTAAGACCCGTGTCATGATTAATACCTGGGGACACTGGGCGACTTCCAAAAACAGTATTTTATGCCAAAGCTTCATTTGCCTCTTTGACTAATTAAACCTTTGATATTACAGATCGGCTGGTTTCGAGGTAGGATGTTCTGCCCATAGGATCAAATCAAATGGAGTGTATTATGTCAGTATACTGTAGTGCGTTTTTATTTAGGATCCTTCCAACCGCATCCGTAGGCCCCATGAGAATTAGACAATCCTGTGTGTCCGGTTAGCATCCTGTGTTTTCCTCTGTTGTAGCTCCAGTCACACTATTTTAATTGCCTATTTCTTTTTCTTGTACCAAACTATAAACATTCTGAGGACAGGTTCTGTGTATTCCCTGAGGAAGGATAAGAGCAAGTACTTCAGAAGAATCCTGCTTAAATTCAAATCCCATCTCTTATCACTCAGCAACTATAAGCTCTTGGACAAGTTAATTAACTTCTTTAAGCCTCAGTTTTCTCAACTCTAAGATTGTTATACAAATAGTTAAACCTCCTGCGGTTGTTCCCAGGATGGAGTGACATGTGCTGTAGGGCACTTAGCACTGGCTTGTAACAAGCATTCAGTGGACTTTTGCTGCTGCCATTGCTATTTTTCTGTTCACTTGTTCACTGTAATATTTTTCAGCCCTTACTTACCACAATGGCCTGAACATAATAGGCATGCAAAACTATTTATTGAATAGAGGATTCTGTCATCATTATGATAATTAATGTGCTATTTACTGATGTCCTAAATAGCTAACACTTTTTATTAGTGTTTTTTTTTTCTCTTTGTTTCAGGTTGTCAGTTGTTGCCTATTGCCCTAGCTATTCCTTTCTATAATAATTTGAAGCTCCTAATTTGCTGGGTTCTGAAAAACCAGATAACCAACTCCTTTGGGATCATATTTAAGTAAAGAGT